AAGTCCCATATGTCGTTAAAAACCGAAACGTACCTAATAATGCTCAGTTTTGTTAGCTCAGTGTTTGGCGGCAGAAATAGGTAATTCCCTGGACGAAATCTTTCACAATCTACTGCTACTAAAAGTTACGTACATACGTGAAACTTTAATAGCAACACCTCTGGCTAACGTTGAAGAAACATCGTGATGAAACCTCCACGTCGAAAGAGGTTCACAGCCCTTGGATAACATGTCAAAGTCAAAGTCAAAGATCATTTATTCTATAGGTAAAATAAATTTATACTTGAAAACGTAACGTCACATTTACATTACATTAAGCTAATGCTCGTTCACTACGCTGACTTCCCTGAGAAGAATGAGCAAGAAACTCTAGGGATTGCTCTTTTCAAATAAACTTAAATGCTATCGAATACACTTTGAATCAAATTTGTGTAGATTCTGGAGCCGTGTCGTCTTTCCATACATCTTTATCTAACACGTAGTCTTCAATTTTGTAATATGACTTTTCAATCAAAATATTCTTAATATAGTTTTTAAACTTAGGAATACATAGTTTTTAATCTTAATATATGCTTCGGAATCTTATTGTAAAAACGTATACAGTTCCCCATAAAAATCGTTTACCTTGGTTAAACGAAATCGTGGTATCATGAGTTTGGACTTAGCTCTAAGGTTAATATTATGGATATCTTGTTTTTTATTGAAATTATGTATATTTTTATGGGCATATAAAATATTTGAGTAAATGTACTGTGATGCCACAGTCATGATACCAGTCTCCTTAAACTTTTATCTGAGAGAAATCCGACAGCCTAGACGGTACACAGAACGAATCGCTCGTTTTTGCAATACAAATATGTTTTGAATATCTGCCGCTTTACCCCACATGAGAATCTCGTAGGACATTACACTATGGAAGTAACTAAAGTAAACTAGTCTAGCGGTACTAACATCGGTAAGCTCACGTATTCTGCGGACTGCGTATGAAGCAGAGCTTAATCTGCTGGCCAGGGAAGATGAGTGTGACGTTCTCAGCCCGTAATGGGCCAAATGGGTCTCCTTAGTCGAGACCCAAAGGTGTGACCAAGGGGTGAGACATATAATGGGTAGAAGATGGAATAAGAAGAAGACGTTTGAATGACTGAATCAACGGCCTAATTCCTCTCTTTAGAGAGCCTTAGAAGTTCGTTTCCCAACCAGTATTACCAACTAGACTAGCAAATGTCGTTAGACGGAAGGTTTAGTCACTAGTTGTCGCTAAAACTGTATTTGTCCTCCACATGAAAGAGCGACTCTTAAGTGACTCAACATAAGCTTATTAGCAAGAGCTCACCACAGAGACAAAAGATCAATGCACCTGAAATAACAAATCTACCATTGAGTAGGGCGTTTACAAAGTCCGTTAAAATAAAAACATATTAAATGTTAAAAAATGAAACCTAATTAAAAAGGTGTCAAAAAAGTAACTAAATTTTTTGTTAATCGACTTCAAAAAAAGGAGGAGGTCTTCAAGTCTACTTTTTTGTGTATGTTACGCAATTACTCCGGCATTTGTGAAGCGATTTTGACGATTTTTTATGTTGGAAAGAGGGTGAGGTACCCTTTACAAGTATTGGTTCTAAATTTGAAGAAAGTATTCCACCTTTAAGGGTGGTAAATTAGGGGATTAGGTAACCGATTGTTAACTTTTTATTTTCACTTTGTGTGTAACTACATATAAGCAGAGTTTGTAGTCGGCTCTTTGTTTTTAATAAAAATTACTTCATTGCTTCATACAAATAAACGTGTGAAAAATTTCGCGTAATTTAGTGACAAAGTCGCTAAGGTGACAACACTGTTCCCAGTTGTGGGGTGTACATGATTTGATGATATACTACAACATTTTCTCAACTTAAATTTCAAAATATTGTAGGAAATCCTCAAAGGAATGTCTAATTCCGGCGCATACACAAACCAGTGGTCTTGTTTGACAACCCTATTTATAATTGAAAGTTATGACCTCACTCTTTAGTTCATTCTAAGATTTATTACTTCAATTACAACAAACATGTGCCTACAATTTGTTTTAGAATTGCATTGAGCACTACTTTTAATTGGTTACCCAATTGCTACTTGTTAATCGTTTTATGTTCTTGTCTCCTTTCTCCAATAATGATTAATTATTTGCTTTTTAGTTCTATGAAATCAGTCTGGTGTTCCTACTAACAGGGCTATTTACAAATACAAACTTGATCAAATTGTCGAATATATGTACAGTATACTAGCTAGCGGAGTTAGTTTTTAACTAATTAGTAACTGGCGTGACGGTTTTGTATGTCAAAAACATTTTCGATAATATATTAACAATTGTCATGGATGGTTTGTAAACGACGTTTTACTAGTTTTCGTCACTAGTCTCGTGACACACCTGCCATTAGCCATCGTCAAATTCAAAGGGTTTACTCGGAGATTAAAACATTGCAAACATTTCAAAATAGGCATGAACCTTACTTGTCAGCGCTATTCGGATTCGAACGTGTTGATGACATCCCATATAAAACACACCCTCCTTATTTATTTTATAGTTAAAATAAGTGCACATTTGACCTCCATATCGCCTGATGAAAAGCGAAGATGAAATCGACGATACAGAGCATGACACACCTATATAAATAACTATTCACTCTCGCCTTGAAAAACCTTAGTAGTAGCGTTCAGGAAACAAATCAACAGGCAGGGAATTCCACTTCAATGCCGTATACGCATATGTGGAAATGTAACGCTTTGTGCAATTCTTGGGTATATCCACAATATACGGGTGGAACTCTAGTCTACGTCTAGTCCACCGATGATAGGAAGCGGATGGTGAAATTACATGCTGGTGAAATTACAAGCACATCATAGCACTTTTTAATTTATGTCTCAAGGTGACTCACATCTTTGTGATTTGAAACTCTGAGTGGCTCTGAAATTGTTATAAACAGACTTGTATCTTTTGATGACTTTGAGAATATTGATGATATCTTATTGTAGACTCGATGCTGATGCTAGAAATGAGCTTTAAGCCGTTGGCGACGAAACTTTTAGCAAATCAGTGTTTACATTTAAAACGAAGGCGTCAATTAATATAATACTCACTGCTGAGCTTTGGATTGTTCTACGGCGAGGTCGTAGTGTACCATCCTGGTCGCGTGCGGGTTACTGACTTCAAATGTCATCATTTTAGTTGTTTAATGATTACTTCTACAGCCATTATATATAATATTTTTTTACATGATACACCAATGCACATGTAACTTAGTATTGATTTGCGTTCGTGAATGATTTCTTAGACAAGTCATTACTCAACGACTTTTCAATATGTTCGAAAGAATAGAGTTCATTTGTCATGGTCGTAGAGCGCATAAATAAATATTAATGTGCTTAATACATAGATAGATAGGTGGAACAATTTACTCGAACTCAAATGATCTTTATTTCAAATAAATAAAGCAAATAATCTCAGTACAGAGTACTAAAACACCGACCTCAAAAGTACATGGAATTACATCTATTTGCCAAGTTTTATTGAAATCGGTTACCGGAAAGTGCGCAAACTATATGGAACTTGACACAGGAGATAATAAAAATCGGTTCTCACTACTCAAAGTATATTGAGAGAGAAAAACGCCTTGAATTGGAGAATAGCAAAATCAACCATTAAAAGAATTGCTCCTTATAATAAAATTTAGGCGCTATTTATAAAAATAAAACTTCATGCGTGAACAGTCACCCTCAGAGGTGGATGATTTTCTTCAAAATTAAATGGGACTACTATGGAGGTACCCTCTTTCCAACAAAAAAATTATCATCACAATTGGTTCACAAATACCGGAGTTATCGCGTAACATACACTTACACAAAAAAGCATACAGTTAAATTGAAAACCTCCTCCTTTTTTTGACGTCGGTTAATTACACTTGAAACCTTCACACAATGAACTCTACTACTCTTTTGTAAAGCAGATCCAAGTATGGAGACGCCGTACAATAAACTTTAGTGTAAAGTTTTTGTTTTGCGATAATTTTAAACCTCATAAATGGCAAATCTTGAATATCAACCGGAATTTTATTATAGAAGAGTATGTATGTAGTATAAAATTGGTGAGATCCGCTGGTTCGTTCCGTGGCTTAGTTGGTATAGCGTCTGGCACGGTAAGCTAGAAGACGTCGGTTCGAATCCGGCTGGATCGAAGGAATTTTTTCTGAGTGTTCGATCTTTGTATTAATAATTTTAAAACAGGAGGAGGTTCTCAATTCGTCTGTATGTATGTTACACGATAACTCCGCATTTGTGTGAACCGATTTGGATGATTCTTTTTTGTTGGAAAGAGGGTACCTCAGTAATGGTTCCATTTAAATTAAAAGAAAATATTCCACCTCTAAGGGCGTCAAACTAGAGGATGAATTTCGTTTTCGCGTACTTTTCGGTAACCGATTTCAATAAAGCTTGGTAAATAGATGTAATAATTCCGCGAACTTTTGAGGTCGGTTTTTTCTCGTATTGATGTTATGTTTATCACTATTTTTTATAAAAGTCCTTTTAACATTACATGACGTAATGTAAGAATGAGAAACTTCTCTTTCAAAGACACTCTGAGGCCCATATTGTAAATTGCCCTAACAGCACGTTTTTGCACGATAAAGATTCTATTAACATCAACGGCATTACCCCAAAACATTTAAATAGAGCAATCACGATTTGATTTCAAGTATTTGGTATGGTCACATAAAAATAGTCCTAATTTTTTGTGCGTCCTTGCAACAAGCGTTTCTATTGTACTGTTGAGTTTATTTTCTAGGTTTGTGCCGTTTGTATTATTCATAGTATACCATAGTAACCAAAATTCGGTGCTCATAAGATATAAACAAAAGTTACAATGTTTTTTTTTTATAAAATGTTACACAGATGTAACATTCAAGGCAGTTTATTAGGCTATTGTTGATGACTTAAGACGTTTTAATGTTCAATTTTAACCACAGAAATGGCCGAGTATCAACACACCAAGCGGAGGGACCATCTCGACGGAAGAGCAACCTTCATAATGCATTGGCTGCAGAGATAGATGGATCGTGGGGTCAGTATTCGTAATTATTTTTAATGCTATTTTGTAATAGGATTACGTACGAAGTAAGACGCCAGAATCTCTAAATGCATAAGGGCATTTATTTATGTAGTTGTATGATCCACGTAAGACACTTAATCGCGCTCTTCCTCGATGTCGCTCACCGTCCCACCAGGTGGAAGCGGCAGCTGGCGATCGGTGATAAGGAACGACGATTCTATGAGCTTTAATCTAAGTATCCCAGCAGGTGGAAGTACTGGAGTGCCATTGATAGGCCCTACGGTTCGATACAATGCAATTTCCTTTTAGAATTTAAATGGTAATTTATTGAGCGCTTCGATAGCGCGTTCTATTTTGGTCCATCTAGCGGCAAGGCGAAGTTACTAATATTTTGCACATGACAACTAACATAGTATTATCTCAAAATTGCTTAAGGTTATGTTAATATTGCCTATTTCATTTCAAAGCGGCAGTGTTGTCCTGTCACATTGAAATTAAATCGTATACGAATGACATACAAATACAGCGAAACTTTTGAGACAAATTATTAAAATTATAACGCAATTTTGAAATAAAATATAATATAATGCAATTTTTGAGATCTATGTTAGTTGTCAAGTGCGATTTGTTATGTGGTGTTACAATTTTAATTTAAATTTCATTAATAAGTATGTAAGTAAAATATTTTGTCTGAGTGAAGAACAAGCTTTCATAGATTTGTCACAGATGACACTACAGGAAAGAAAGTCAAAGAAAGCACGAAAACATTCGAAAGGTCTCCTGTTTCGTTCCGTAGCTCAGTCCGGAGAGCTTCAACCCCGTGGTTGAAGGCTTGAGTCCGGCCTGATCAAATCATCATTAAAACATCGTATTATTGAATATAATTAATTTTCTAGATATATATACATAGATAAAAAAAATAATTACATATTCTAGTTTCTCAGATTAGGTATGTCACACGCGTTTGTAACGGCACGGCGCATTTTGTATCGGCGTATTTTGATACAGTAGTCTGTGGGTTAGGTTTACATGAATGTTGTTAAGAATATAGTAACAAAGATGATGCACTCAGACTTCTACGTTTTGAAGTAAACTTCAGTTTAGTAAACTAAATGATGGGACAAACAGTCGTGGGATTGGTGGTAAGCGACACGTCTGTTCATAGCAATTGCAATGCCACTCAGAGCTTTAAATCACATATCTGCGAAGCACTGCGACTGCGCACATCACCCTCAGACATATGAAAATAAAACTGCCTCCGTGGCCGAACGGTTACCATGCCGGACTGCCACGCAGAGGTCCCAGGTTCGATTCCCGGGCCGGGAGAAATGTTTGTATGGCTTACATTTATTTCTCTCGTGAGTTTGGGTGTAATTTGTGGTTGTCTATGTGTGTGTCCATGCCACCCGCGACACATGGTTTCCCTAATGCGGGGCTATGTTGAGTGTGTGCGTTATTTATTTATTATTTATATGTTGGAAAAGTCCAATGAACCTGTAATTTGGCCATAACTTCTTCAAGATTGGCATAACTTCTTTGCGAAGAACAGAGCTCTCTGAGAAAACAACTATCAACTCTTTCGAAATTCGAGCCATTTAAAATAGTAATGTTCCAGACATTCAAAATAATAATTTCTTGGTCCCAAACTACGGAATTTCCTTCGTATACTAAATGTGTATAGCAACGGAATTTACTCCAAGGTTTGCCCAGAACACACAGATCAGAACTAATTTGAAAACATCATTTCCCCAAATTGATCCTATCGGAAATCGAACCCGTGACGTCCTCAACCAGCGTCCACAGAGCAAACCGCTGGGCCACAGAGGTCGTCAAATAAGTTTGTGTGGAGGTAATAATATTTAATTGTAATTCTCCTCTTGTCTATTTATATAGTATATTTAATGTAAGTGGTATGTCAAAGGCTATAAGGCTATTAGCTATCATTAGAATAGAGGCTGTCGCCCATTTAGCGCCTAAGCGTCAGACCAGCACTGCACTCAAATTCATTATTGAAAAAAGAACTATGAAAAGTGTTGTACTACTTTAATTTACGTAATTCTTTGTTAAGAAACATACTGTTTCAAGTTCTTACGTTTTGGCGATTGTGACCAATAGGAAATGAAACTATTGTTCCGGGTTTAAATCGCGTATATTTGTTTTTTCAAGAAGATTTCTCAGTTCCTGAGACCCGTGAAATGTAACATCCCTCTGCAGGATGCAGGAATTTATAAGCTTGACTGTGAGTGCGGTCTCTCTTATATTGGACAAACGAAGCGTAGTATTAGTAACCGCGTAAAAGAAAATATAGCTGATGTCAAACACCGTCGCGTAACAACTCAGCAGTCTGTAAGATGTCATGGATAAACCTTCACATTCAATCAAGTTTGACAAACCCCAGGTCCTTACAAAAGAAGTCCGTTATCTACCCACGATGCTGCGAGAGGCCATTATAAAACATACTAATTTCAACAGGGAAGATGGTTTCTCCGTACCACCAGTTTGGGATCCAGTATTTTTTCAGATGAAAAATCGCAAACAGACATAAGACTGCAACACTGATTAATATGTTTTAATTTGTTGTAATTTCCATTAAAACAGATGTAGCGTAAATTGGAATGTTCTTTGTAAAATTAAAAATAAGGTGTTTAATTAATAACTTTTGGAACTACAGTGAAAACTAATTGGGTGGTTTCATTAATATTAGACATAACTAGTTGAAGACTACCACTTCAGTCAACCGTGATCATGGGACCTGTAAAGGGCCCGCAATGGTTTGCTTGAAAATACAAATATACGCGATTTAAATCCGGAAAAATAGTTTCATTTCCTATACTGTTTTAAGTTTTACGCTTAAATAATAGGTCTGTGCTAATTTTATTTCACAAATTATCTGTTACACAAACGTTAGACCGTAACTCCTGCCAGGAAGGATCTAGCTGACAATCAGTGCATATACTGGGCCCAGAATCCTCGCCACATCTGTGACTATAGACGTAGTTTTGTGTTTGTCTTAGTTACTATTTATATTTATTAATACAAAGATCGAACACTCAGAAAAAACACTCAGAAAAAATTCCTTCGATCCG